CAAGCCCAGGACTCCCTTCTGCCCACCCAGCAGTCAAAGGCTTGGCCCCTGGAGAACAGAGGCCCTGGCCAGCTGTTATAGAGACATTTACCAGAACTATCAAGCACCCCTCCAAAGCCACTGCAATTCTTGAGTTTGGGAAAATTAAAGGCAGCTATTTTTACTCGCACGCTCTCAAGCCACTCAGAAGGCTTGGCTCCACACACGAACCATTCAGCCCGACTGGGTCCCTCACGCGGGCTTGCCTCGGGATCCCACTTTCAGTGTTTATTCCTCTTCATTTCCTAACAGCTTCCACCCACTCGCTGTGTTAACTTCGCACTCCACAGGCTTTTCTCTCTTTCTCGCTCATCTCCTCCAGCTGCTGTAATTTGAAGCAGGAACCACACAGACTGTTCTTTCAAGCAGTTCTCTAATGTCTTGCATAACCATCCTTCAGAAAAAGAAAGAGATAGGAGAGCCACGTGTCCTAAGAATTAAGGAGGAATTCTGAAAGGAAGACGCCAGAGTGGGCACATGACCCCATGGACCCACAGAATTATCTCCTCCCAGGAAACCAAATGCTGGGTTGAGATTTGCTCTCTTCCCATTGGTTGTAAATGAGATTTTGGTAGAAGACAATCTTTATTATTCCAAGTAAACAAGAACCCTTGAGGGGTGGATGCAGTCACCTGAATTCCATCTCTGGGTTTGTGTGCAGGGAGGCTGGCTTGCTCTGTGGAACAATTTTAAAACACTTTAGAGACATCATTTTTTTTTGCACCTCACCATAATCTTTGAGTGTCAAGTGGACAGCAAGGATTACTCCCCTCCTCTTATGATACAAAACCTGAGGTAGCAGAGATAAAGGCTGCTTCCTGCTGCCTCTTTCTCCCCAGCAATTCTGACTGCTCAGTGTCACCCAGGCAGACCTCTTCTCATCTCTGATCTCTCCTCTGGTGTGGATGAAAGGTGATACCCTGGAGGCTGGGACCAGAATAAAGTCCTCACCAGGTACCACCGCATCTACATGGTCTGTGACTGTTTACCTTAAAAGTAATGGTAAATCAACCGCAGAGGCTCCCTACCACACGTGCAGAATCACCCTCCCTGATTGTGGGCAGAAAAATCTGGAAGGAAATAAAAGCTAATTGACCTACTCTCCAAAGTAGAAAACCAGTTACATCCTTCATTTCAGATGAAAGGAAAGAGCTGTTTGCAGATGACTGACTGGGAAACGACATGATTTAACCCCAAATTATTCTCCTTTGGGGCTAATAATTCTTTGTTTGAGAGCAGTCTGTTACATGGGATTTAGTGAATCCATGTTAGCTGCAACCAGGTAATCGGAAGAAAGGCAAAACCAAGGCAGACGGGCAAAACGCCTCTCCCCCGAGTCACATACGTTAAGTTAAACCCCCACAGAACACTGGAATATTCAGCCATCCAACCAGAGCACTCGGAACCTACTCTGCAGGCACCCCAGGTTTTTAAATTTAATCTGTTTATCTTACGGCTCACTTGTAACACAGCTATAGGTCTTACAAAGGGTTGGAGCTGGGACAAACCATAGAGAGAACCAATTCCCACTGTTTATTACTCAGCTGAGAGGAGTGACACCTAGAGAGGTTCAGTGACTTATCCAGAGTCACCCACTTAATGAGGAACAGACGTGACAGGTGTGTGCAGTTCTTCAGACCCCATTGCACCAGGCTGTAGTCTGGGATGATGCCAGAAAAGATGTGGATTACACAGCCATGTTTGCAAGGCGTCCTAGGTGGACAATTATTTCCATGTACGGGAATCGAGCTGAGGGGCTGGGGGCTACAAACTCAAGTAACTGTGCCCTGCTCAGCCTGGCAGGGGCCATACTGAGTGCCCGGCTGCTCTGGGGTCTGCTTCATATGGGAGGATGTCGCTGTTTCAGAAGGGGTCTTCTCTAGCCATCTTTACTCATTTTTATTTCATGTTAGTGGACTTATAGCCATATTTTTAAAAGTTACTTAGAGGGCTGACCCCGTGGCTTAGCAGTTAAGTGCACACGCTCTGCTGCTGGCGGCCCGGGTTCGGATCTCGGGCGCACACCAACCACCGCTTCTCCAGCCATGCTGAGGCCGCGTCCCACATACAGCAACTAGAAGGAAATGCAGCTATGACATACAACTATCTACTGGGGCTTTGAGGGAAAAAAATAAATAAAATTACAAAAAAAAAGTTACTTAGAAAATTGGGTAGGACAGAAATAATGTTGTAATAACTAGACTATAGCAACTCTTTAGGCCTTTGAATGAGGGTAAGCTTTTTATTTTTCCAGTCTTGGGAGGGTACCCTGACTGGCCTTGGGGAGCAGGAGGACTCCACACATCTCCCTGCTGAGCCCCTCTAGGGAAGTCTTGACGAGGAGGAGCAGAGGGTTAGGAATCAACTCTAAGGAGCACAGAGGAAGGCGTAGATGTACTTGCTAAGGGCCTCTCTGTTGTAGAAAGAACTTCACCTAACGTGGCTTTAGTTTATCCCAGGAGACAAATTCCATTTGTGAAAGCGTCAGATCGGATGGAAGGAATCACTGGCTTGTATTCTCCTCTCACTCCTCCCAACCTTCCCAGTACAAACCTCCCGAGGCTCCAGGGAACACTGGAGTGTTCACTTGCCTGCAGGTCCTCTTAGTTCACACTGGTGCAAGTCTGAACGATGGATTTCCACAAGTTCAGTATCTAACCCCAACATTCCCAAATGACATGAGTACACGTGTGTGAAACTTAAATCACTGCAAATATTTACTCTAGCTTTTACTTAGTATTTTTAAGCAGTATAAAGCAAAAAGGCCAAATATAGTTTTCAAGTAAGTGACTTTTATTTTTCTCTGACATTTCACAGTCAACTTCTACAAAACTTCATACTTCCTCAAAAGAATTCACATTTGGTAAATAAATCTCTACCCTAAAGAATTCATAGCAGGAAGAACACTTTGATATATGCACAAGTTACTGTTCTGCTGAACGAATCATAGTAGAAAAAGTCAGACAATAATCAATAAAAAGCAATGAGAGTGTAATAAATTACAAACGTCACTAAACTCCATTCCCATACCCAATTCTATCAGCAGCTTTTTCTAGATGTGTTTCAATATTGCCAACAAAATCTGCCAGAAGTTCTCCTAAGGGTTGGTTTGAGCTAAGAATGGCTTCTCACTTTGAGAAAGCAGTCGCTGCCACAGTACTTCATACCAGATCAAAGCATGCATTGCTGAGACCAGAACTACTTACAGCCCATGCGACCAATGCAGATCTTTCTGCTCAACTCCTAGGCTCCTCCAGTGGCCGATCTCGCTCCTGGCCCCAGATGTGTGCTAGCCTCAACGGATCACACTTTCCAAGATCTATCTTCTCTACTTGGCTTCCTCTGCTCACAGCTCCACCAGGAGAAGAACACCCATGCTAACAGCCTAGAGAGGCTTCCGCACCAAGTTAGAAGAGCAGAGAAGAGCCAGGGGTGGTGCTGCTTCTCGCTGCCACTCAGCAGTGAAGATCAATGATGGCTTTCATCATCTTTTACTGTGACAAGAAGGGAAACGCAAACCTTCATGTAGGAAGAAGAGTCCAAGAGGCTTAGAGCTCCACAGAGGGTTTTTCCAATGGAATAAATTTGGTTCTCAGCAAGTGTGTGCAGATTTCTGACACTCAGTAAGACTCATGACTGGTGCCCAGGCTGTTCTGAATGCACCTGTCTCTATAGCTTTGCTGCCAAACATACTCTGCCAAAAAGGAAGCTTCCTCGCATGGTGTGCAGAGCAGAGCTGCTGTAGTACCACACAGATTCAGGGGAGGCAAAGGGAGTGGGCCGAGAGCAGACTATTCAAAGGAGCTGAGTCTGCTTAAAGACACATTTGCTCCGATTCTTGAAACTCTTTCAGAAACAAATGGCAGGTAACAATTCTACATTGATCAGGAGCGTGCAGAGATTTTACCGAATTGTTTATTTCTAAATCAGTCATATCTAAATCAAACACGTCTGAGAACAAAGTGTAGGCAATCTGCCTAGTAAATATGAGCGTTAGTTTCTGGCCTTGGTAAAACTTCAAGAACATTTTCCTTGCAGAAAAGACGAGGCTGGTCATAAAGAACTTCTTATTAAGGTAATTTGTACAAAGATCTTCAAGAAGATGAAATTTTAGAATAAGAGGACAGAAAGTCTAAAACGTTACCACTTAGAAATCTAAGTAGTTTACCTTTACAATGAAGCTGAAACAATGTGTACCATCTGGAAATCCTCATCACATTCTCCATTTCTAGATGAACTTCACGTAACCAACACTACACCTCTGGCTCTGCTGCCAATATCCAACACATGAAACAAACACACAAGACTCTGCTCCACAGTTGCTCCGCATCACTGTGCATCACACAGGACAGACGAAAACTTCAGATATGAAAAGAAAATGGATGAGAAGAATACTTTCCAATGTCTTGTGGACTTATATTTAATAACCTTAGGATGATTTTAATTCCAAGTTTATCAAGCTTAACAATCACTTCTTTCCTTTAATAAAAACAAAAGGAACAAAAAGGTGGCAGCAGAGGGTTAACTTACATTACATTCTCAGGAACCATGAAGCTATCTTTAAGATTTTCACACATAAAACAGGTTGCATTGTTTCAAAAGAGAGGGAAAAAAAGCATAAATTACCAAAATATCTTCTGGCTCCTGACCAAGAGATGCTGGCCATGTCTACTTTGTTCAGACTCTAAGTCAAAAAAGCAATTCATCAACTATAATTCCAGATGGTACTGAATCCATTCCATACTGTAAAAATCTGAAGTATTTTGCCTACCAGTTTAAGTGAAGAGAAATCTGGCTTGTGACTACAGTGTAAGAGTTAAATGGTACGGCTCTTTCCCCTTGACTTTCAAGTTTAAGAAAACAAAGGTTAAGTGATTAAGGGCTTGCACCCCAAGCTGAACCTGTGCCCAAAGCACCTCAGGTTTCGCCCCAGTGGCCCGATGCGTTGTGGAATGCAAACGCACCTCCTATTTTCCTCTGAGACTAAGACATTCCAGGGCAGAGCCACGAAGGATCCTCGAGTCACCTACTCCCTGGCTTGACAGGTGTCGCTCTTGTGTCGTACCTTGACAGGTACACTCATCCATGTCACTGGCCCCTGATCACAGTGAGTGAGTGGGACGGTGGGAGGTGACAGCTGGAAGAGCCCCACAGTCATCTCCACTGCTCTGCCCTGTAATCCATCCAAGTGCCTGCAGGCTATGGAAAAGAGACTCAAGGACACTCCGAATCTGAGGTCCTCAGTGGAACGGAGACATAAGTAAAGTGTGCATAGACCACAGGTTAAAACAGCAGCCAGGTATTGGCATGTGGCTTCATAAGTGAACTGCTGAAGAGTTTAAGTTTAGAAGGAAAGCTCTTACATAAGTTTTGGGAAACAGGAGTAAGAGAATAGCAAAGGAGCTAAAAGGAACCGCTCAAGTAACAGGAAAATATGCCTTCTCAGCTATATGTCTGGGTGATCAGAGAATGCTTCTAGGTCACTGCCAGTATGACGAGACCCAGATGTTAGAGACGCCTGCAGCTTGGCCCAAGCCTGAGGAGCCCTGCTCTTGGTGGCCTCTATAAACAGCTGGGTCTGCTCCTTTAGCTGGTCTAGTTCCACCTGAGTTGCCTGGTTCTGACGAATTAATTCCTTGGTTTTCAAAGTGATCTCCAGCAAACCAGACTTGTGTAGGACTACTAGGGTATTCTGAAAGCGCCTGTGTTTGCTCTGCCGCTGCTCTGAAAAGATATCTGGGCTGCGGCAGAGGTGCTCGGCGGCCCAGAGAGGTGAGCTATAATTAGCTGACAGTGGCGAGAGGGGGGAGCTGCTCTCTAACCCGTGCAGGGTGCTGTCTGATGCACAGACAGGACTGGCGGGGGAAGCAAAGGTCAGACTAGGAGCTTTAGCCACATGGCTGCTGGACACTGGCTGAAGAGTCTGTGGACTTCCGCCTGCCACCAGGGAGGGCACCCCCTGCAGAGCTGAGTCCTCAGCAAGCTTGGCGCTGGGAGGAGCGGGCGCTGGGGGACTGGATGGCACAGCACCAGGCTTGGTTGGCTCACCGGAAGACAGGCTCGGCCCGAGTCTCTCAGTACAGACCTTCTTCTGCATTCCACTCTCTCCTCTTTCTTCTGGGCTGAGGCACCTTTTGCCTGGGTGGGGGGCTATTTTGGTGTAAGAATTGAGAATAGGCAGGTAGTTCCTGGAGTCTGACTTTTTCTCGCCAGCGTGACGCGGGCTGACAGGAGACGGCATGGGTGGGTGAAGGAGCAGGAGCTGTGGCTGCGCCGAGATCACTTCAAAGGAGGGCTGGACAGTCCAGGACTGGAGCGGGGAGGAGCCGCCGCCCTGAAAACAGAGGGAAGGACAGCAGACGACGCGTTACCTGCTGAAAGCACGGATGCTCGGGTTCCGTCAAAGGGACAAGCAGACACTCAGGTATTCATAACCACTGCAAGCACAGAGCTTCCCTCACCCACAGGGCAGCCCTTCTCAAGAACATGACTGGAGAAGTGGCTTGAAAATCCATTTGGATCTGATAGCATAACTTTTTTTTTTTTTTTTTTACTTTTCCTAAGAGAAAACTGGAAGAAATATCTATTTTTATTCAAGTGTTATCACTCAGAAAAAGCAACTGTAGGTAGGTGAAGTAATGACATAGGTAAGGTCACAACTGAGGCAACAAAAATAGAGACAGTACGACTTCCTGGAATAAGTTAAAATGTGCTGATCTCAAGACTATAAACATGACTTCACACCCAAGTCTATCTTCAGTTAGTTACATCTGGAACCTCTTTCACCTGAAAACAACTTTTGATTAAAGTTACATAATGTCAGGAATCCATGGGCCCCTTTTCAAGGCAGCGACACCCAGCAACCATAAAACCACTCAAGAAATTCACAGCTGCCGTGTCTTGGTGCTCCTGCAGGCTGGCACTGTGTGCGATGTTCTACATGGGTTGTCTCCCTAAATCTCCATACAACCTCATGAGGTAGTTATTTCCCTTCACAAATAGGACTCTGAGGCTTAGAAAGTTGACATAACTTGCTTTAAGTCACCAAGCTACTAAGTGAGGGAACTAGGATTCCATCCTCTGTGTGACTCTAAAACCCATCCTAACCATTCTGCTGTACTGCCTTTGTTATATTATCCTCAATTACACATTTTTACTTTTAATTAAAACACTGATTCAGATGGAAGTCTAATAAAGGAGGACACGGCTACTTGTCTCCAATATTTAAAAGCTACTCCAGGGGCCGGCCGGTGCATGTGCTCCGCTTCAGCGGCCCGGGGTTCGCCAGTTCGGATCCCGGGCGCACACCGACGCACCACTTGTCAGGCCATGCTGTGGCGGCATCCCACATAAAGTGGAGGAAGATGGGGACAGATGTTAGCCCAGGGCCAGTCTTCCTCAGCAAAAAGAGGAGGATTAGCAGATGTTAGCTCAGGGCCAATCTTCCTCACAAAAATAAATAAATAAATTAAATTAAATAAAAGCCACTCCAGTTCCAATTCAGTCCCAAAGAAATGAGTGTAGATGAAGCTAGCAGAGAGAGAGCCTGACAGAGCTTCTTATCCTTGGTGGGGTCATTTGATGTAGCTGAAGAAACCTATGGACTATCTTCCTACACGTGCACACCGTTTTGCACACATTTCAGCTTCTTGGATGCCTGGCTAGGAACGCTAGGCCAACTATAGTTCATCTCCTGTGCAAAGGCTGGGATGACCTGCAGAGCCTGTTCTGGAGTCCTCCTGGTGTTCAGATATACTCCTGGATGTCCGTAAGCAAGCAACTCTAGGCCTGGCAACTGCACTCCCCTGTCCAAGGAGATCCACAATCAGGGGTCTTTTGAAGCGGAGATCAGCCTAGCTCAGTTAGAAGCAAAACTTCAGGCTACCCCCTGGTCACTCATGCCCTAGGGGTGGGCCTCCAAGGCAAATGGATCCAGAAAATATCCAATCATTGCTTTCCCAAGATCATCTCACTGGACTGTTCTTCCTAATGCTGCTGCTATGCCCACTGCCCTAACAGATACTTAGCTTATCTGTTCTATTATTAGCTTTTACAATGTATTACTCATGCTGAAATCATCTAAGGGCATACGGGCCAAGATTTTAGATCTGCACAGGAGCTCAGAATCATTTCACACAAAGCCTTCGTGGTAAAGGTGAGGAAGCTCAAGTCCATGGTGGTTAAGTAATTATAATTAAGTAATACACAGCCCAGTGCAGAACTGGAATCAGACCTCACAAGAAAAATACCTAAAACCAAGCAGCAATAATCAAGATGACTATCACACGATATGCAGAGATTTGTTTAAGTATATTATTTTTTTAATTTTAAAATGTGCTGGATTCTAGCATGTGTGGAAAAATAAAACAAAACTCCTGGACTACTCCATTAGGTCAGCCTGCCCCCAAGCCTCCTACGTCCTGATCAGCCCAGCAGCCTTCCCTGCGGGTCTTTGTCCTGAAGGACGCAGCCCTGCTGGAAAAGCCTCCTCGCTCCTCAACTGTGGGCTGTTCTCAGCCCTCTGGAGCTGCAGCCTCGCCTCCAACAAAGAAGGCAGATAAACACAGATGCACAAGAAAGAGTGACAAGGGAGCCAGAAAGCGAGAAGCATGGCGGCACTGGTGGGGCCTGGACAATCTCATTTGGGCTCCCTTTCATGTCTTTATTCTCTCTCTGCATTTCAATAAGCAGAGCTGTGCTTCCCACTGTGATGTGATTTGCTAGGCAAAAATCTTCAAATTCTTTTTCCAAACTCACCAGGTTGCCTTGTTGAAAATCAGTTTGTGTTCCTTAGACATAACTAGGTAATAGTTAAAACACTAAGGTTTCCTGTCAGGCTACAGCCATATTCTTCCACGCAAGGTGGGCAAGTCAACAACATAAAGCCAGATTTCAAATTTCACTAGCTTCAAGCAGCTCCTCAATGGACCCATGCGAGAACTGATCTATTTTAGAGCAAAGTAGGGTGAGGTTAAATGTTCTTAACCAAGTTCACAGGACCGAGTTCTCTGTTTCCAACACGGGGGCTTAGCTTAGATTTTCACCTAAATCTCCTTTTCTTTCATAGCTAGACAACAGGGTACTTTTCACCTCCACAGCAGTGCCGTGTGGACTCTGCTGGGACAGCCACAACGAAGCCGGCGAGCGGCTTTCTCACTAACAACATCAGCTTTGGCTGATTACTAAGAAAATGCTCAGAATGCGACAAGAGAAACATGGAAATTGCCTCTACTTCTTAGACAAGTAAATGCATCCCACATTTCTACATTCTCAGGGCAATTCAAATTAAGAGATCTTTGGTTTCTACTCTAAATTCTGCCATATATTAGAAGACGCTACAGAAGTTAGGACATTTCTGCTTGGTTCCTTTATACATGACTAAAGTATTCTGGAGTCTCTTTGGACAAACTAGGAATACAGAAATAAAATAGTCTTACTGTCTGAACTTATGAGAACACATGTTATGACTCTTGTATTCCTTCTTAAAACACTGTTGGTAGTTGAAAGGGAACATCCTCTCCCAGGACAGACACACGCATCAGCGTGGTTCTCTCGTGGTCTGCTTCTAAAATCTTTCCTTGGTAGAGAGGGAGAGGCTCTGCACACAGAAGCTCAGAAACCCTAATCTGCACAGGTGTTAGGAGCTCTCGGTCCTCCTCACCTGTTTGACCAGCACGTTCTTCATGACGACCATGGGGGACAGTGCAGGGAAGGCACTGCTTGCCGTCTTGGAGCTCTGCCTTGGCCTGTCTTCTCGGCTCCAGCCTAAGGCGCTCAGCATGTCCTCGGACTCCATCTGCTCTGCCGAGCTCAGACATTCTGAGCTCCCATCTGGTGGGCAGAGGAATGGTTAGTTCACTCAGGCTCTAGGCTAGGGGCTCTTAACTGGGCCTCCTAGGAAGCCATGGACCCCCTGAAATTGAATGCAACATTTATGATATGTGGTCTTGTGAATTTTTCTGAGGAGAGGGTGTTGAGCTTTCACTGGATTCTCAATGGGATGCATAATCATCCCTCCCACCCCAAAAGATTCAGAATCACTGCCCTAGGACAGCAGACTTCCTCTCTAACTCCTTACAGACCGACGCCTGCGTCAATCGGGGTTCGTGTGACAGTAATCATCATCAGGCTACAGGAGAAATGGGTTGAAGGCTTCAAACGTAGGTCATTACTTTTAAGAGTCTCTTGTTGAGGGCCGGCCCCGTGGCTTAGCGGTTGGGTGCGCACGTTCCGCTGCTGGCGGCCCGGGTTCAGATCCTGGGCGCACACCGACGCACCGCTCATCCAGCCATGCTGAGGCCGCGTCCCACATACAGCAACTAGAAGGATGTGCAGCTATGACATACAACTATCTACTGGGGCTTTGGGGGGGAAAAATAAATAAATAAAATTATAAGATTTAAAAAAAAAAAAAAGAATCTGTTGTTGAAAGGGGGGTAGTGTGTGACCTGGCACAGGATTAAGACTTTCAGAGGCTCTGGGTACCACAAGATGTAATTATAAGAAGAAGAACAAAACCAACCTGTAAATCTCAAAACTTACATCCATGCTGAAATTACAATAGCTTCTTCTTAAGTCTTCTAATTGTAAAATTCTGGATAAGTTCATCAAGGCTGAAATTTAAATATGTCTTTCTTTGTTATCCCCTCCATCGAGTTCAGCATCTCCTTTGTTGGTGTCCTAAATGCACATGGAGTGTGCCGACTGGGGATCTGGCACAATGGCTGATAGACAGAGCCTCTCCAAGGCAAAGAAAATAAGGTTCCCTACTGAAATCCACACAAAAAGGACTTAATTAGCCACCTGCTGGAGTCAACGGAGAGACTGCTGTGGAGAGACTGCTGTGACCCGCTAGTGAGGAGCCTGGCAACACCCTCAGTGCTCATCAGGAACCTCAGAGGAATCTGGACGAGGCAGGACTGGAACGTGACTACAATTTAAGCGAGTGCAACTGTCAACACTTGCATTTAATCAGAATCTCCAGTGAGGCTTTTAGAAATTACAGATCTTGGGGTCCTCCTCTCCACCTATTGAGTTGATTTATCTGGTGCCCGGGCAGGTGTGTTTTCACAGAGCACCACAAGGACTAATCCAAATCTGCGCCTCCAGTCAAGAACTACTGGACAGAAACAGAGGATTCAGGAGCACAGCACATGCCTAGTGCTGGATGGGGGCTTCCAATGCCATTATGTACAAAAAGGAAACCAGGGCTCCCTGGAGAATGGCTGATTCCAAGTCTTCGCCAGGGCAGGCATGAGATGAGCCTGGACATCTTATCGTCTCAAAGCGTGGAAGTGCGCAAACACAAGTTGGGACATGTCAAAAAGACACAGGAGCTATGGAGAAGGGACTCCCACTGGCCAAATCTGGGACAATTTGAGCATCAAACTGAATTACAAAAGAACTCCAGGAATCCATAGTGATAGTCAAAAAAGAGGGTCGAGGAGGGGAAGTGCTTCTTTACAGAAGAATGTCAGCTAATAAAATGGACAAGGAATGACAGAATGAGATCACCACTTTTAAACCACAAATGTGGTAACTGATTCAGGCGAGGCTCATCAATGGAAGCTAAAACGACTGGTCAAGAGTTTGTTGGGGACGGGATAGTCACACAATCTCAGAGTACCCAACCATAAATTACTTATTAATTACAAAGAGAAAAGGGTCCTCTTACAATAAAGAAATCTGGTATTTGCTTACACCCTACCTAAACCAAGTGGTCAACCAGGGCGTCACCAAGAATAAGACAAATGTAGGAGTCTCCTTATATGTTGCAGTGGGAAGGATATCACATCAAAAATCTAGCATTCTGGTAAAAAATGTTTATCCTGATTCTAATAACGGGAAAACTGCCAGAAAAATCCAGAGTGTACACATTCTACAAAACAACAGGCCTAACTCATTCAAAGATGTCAATGTTGTAAAAAAGAAAAAAATGAAGAGAAGGGAAGATGAGGGAGCTGTTCTAGACTAAATAAGATTGAAAAGACTGGACAACTAAATGAAATGCACAACCCTCAACTGGATCCTGGATCCCAAACAGCAGACAGACAAACAGACAACAGCTATAAAGGACACTACCGGGACAAGGGGAAAAATGTGAATATGGTCTGTAGCTAATTAATAACTATATCAATGTTAAATTTCTTGGCAATGATAATTATAATGTAATTATGTAGAAGGATGTTATTTTTTTAGGAGACTCATACTAAAATATTTAGGGATGAAATGTCAAGTGTTTGCAACTTATTTTCGAACAGTTCAGCATAGACATATATATATAAAATGTGTGTGTGGAGAGAGATAAAGCAAATACGACAAAATGATATCACTCAGTGGATCTGAAAGAAAGATATCTGCAGTATTCATTTACTTTTGTGTAGGTTTGAAACTTTTCAAAATATAAAGTTGGGAAAATAACTAAAATGGAAAAAACTACTTGGTTTTGCAAATTACATCATACTCCAAGGTAAAAGGAATGATAACTCAGGCAGTGACAAAATCACTGGCACGTGGCCCAGGAGTGGCTGGAGACATTCACTGAGGCCACTTTCTGGAGCTTAATGAACTTGATTTTTTTTTTTGGTGAGGAAGAGTGGCTCTGAGCCAACATCTGTGCCAATTTTCCTCTGTTTTTGTATGTGGGACGCCGCCACAGCATGGCTTGATGAGCGGTATGTAGGTCGTGCCTGGGATCCGAATTCGCAAACCCTGGGCTGCCGAACTTAACCACAACGCCACCGGGATGGCCCCAAGTTTGATTATTTTTAACACCACTTTATGTCTGAACAGCACAATACTTTTTAAGGCACTTCTACATAGAGAATAAGGAAACCACCAGAAAAACTATCCAGCCTTTGGGACATACGACAAAACAACCGGCCAGACAAAGCTGAAGTTGCTGGAATGAGAAGTACCAGATGTCAACAGTATTGGGAATAATAGGTGGTAGGATCATGGATAATGTTTATTTTCTTCTTTGCACGTTCCTAAATTTCTAAGCTTCTACAATGAGCATGTACTACCTTCACGATATAAAAAACAGACGCAAACCAAACACAATTATTAAAAGAAAAAAAAGAGACACTAGACCTGCAATGTTTCTCAAACCCGTCTGATCACATGGACCACCAGAGACACTTGTTCAAAAAAAAAAAAAAAACGCCTTTCCAGGCTCTCCCAGACTTGTCACAATCTCCAGGAGAGGGGTCTGCAGCCAGTGTTTTTAACAGATGCTTCAGATGAGCATTATTATGACGAGATGAGCTTAGGAAATAATGCCAACAAATAGAGAGAAAAACCCAAAGGGCTACCAGTTGGCCCTCCCTTCCCTGGACTGTCCTTATTCTAATCCTTTGGTGGATCTGTGCTCTGTTCCTCTCTCAGCAACACTCTATGTATAATTCGGCTTCTCATGCAGCATGCCTACAGGGAGAAAATACACCAATCTAAGGATGAGCGAGTTCCAGTTTTCCTAACAGCTGCATTTCTCACTATAAATTAATAAATCAACAAGATGGACTGATTAGTCTCTGTGAGGCTAGATAATATAAATTTCCTCTAGGAGAGGGCTCCGCTCGCAGGATGCTGACCAGCCAGAATCGCCTGGCATCACCCCTCTGCATCCCCTGGGCCAAAAGTGTTGACACTAGAGCCGTATTCAAGCCATGACCCTCCGACCCGGAAATAAAAAAGAGCCTCAGCACAAAATTAAAAGATTCACTGGGTATGCGGCTAGCCCTTTCAGGTAAGGCTTAAGACCAACTAGTGGGGAAAATCGTTCTACCTTCTTGTCTCTAATAGATTCTTAAGTTTAGAATTGGGCCAGGAGGCTCATAGTCCAGATACAAAATGCACAGATACTGGCAGGGATGGGTTGTAGGGGGAAACGTTTTTAAACCCAGCAAAATTACTTTCTTGGCAAAAGAGTTACCTTCAATTATATACCACTTTTGTTTTAACTTGTTACATGCTGACAACATGCAGTAATGTTTTTTTTCCTGCGATGCAACTATTCCTATGAAAGAGGAGCTAAAACAACAGAATTATGGGTATTTACAGATTGTGTCCAGTAACCACTTGTAGCAACTGGAAATGTAGGATGCCAGATCATTCCTTCAGAACTGACCCCACGCGGACTCTGACAGGTAGCCTGCCATATGGCATCAGAATTACCATTTTAAGAGATCAGATAGTTATTTATCCTGTAGGTGAAAGCTTCCCATCCTTATCACAAAAAACGAGTTTTAGGGAGGACGCTTTTCAGGCAAATCGCTTATTACAATGTAGAAAGAACGAGGTATTTTTAACCTGAAAATCCCGAGTCCTTATCTGACTCAGCAGCAGCCACACCGTGTTGACGAACCACCTTCTTCACCTCCGTGCCTTTGCCTAGCTTGGCCGAGAGTCTTCTGGGGCTCTCTCTGGACGGGATTTTCCTCTCCATGTTTCACTGGGCCGGAAGTAGACTCATCAGGACTCTTGTCATCTGGAATGCCCTGTGCAAAACAACAATTGCATAACAAGTCACTGCCCACAGGGCTGACACAGGTGATCCACACGGTGAGTAAAGTGGGGCAAAGAACACCGGCCTCACCCACTTCCTCTCTATTTTCTCAGGCTTCAAAGTTTACTAACAGTAGAGTGGTTTGCGCCCAAAAGGAGGGTCACTGTCCTCTTGCTGTCCTCTGATGCCATTACAAATTCAAAGCACACAAACCACACACAGTGGAAGCTTTGTAAACTGCTAACAAAGGCACATCTGATTAGGCTTTTCTGAATGAGTAACCCACCCTGCTCCCTGAGGAGGAGAGGCGATGCCCACCTGGACCGGCTTGCTCTCCCAGTCTGCATTTGAAGGCTCCTGACCTATTGCCACCTCCCATAGTGCAGTTTCTCAAATTAACCTTTCACTTCTTTGGATGAGGTACTGAAAAGAGTAAAAATAACTCCTTATGTATGCATGCTACATTTTGGCTTAAAAAGCACTTTTAAGCACAAAGAAGATCATCTATAATCGTGCTTTGATTGTATAAAAGCCCCTAACATTACTGCTGTTCAGGTTATCTCACCCGAGCCTCACAATGTCCTCCTCAGTTGCTATCCCATCTTACAGAGGAAGAAGCTGAGGCTCAGAGAAGTTACATTCAGTTATTTAAAACTATTTCTCAAGTGCCTACTATAAACCAGGCATTGTGCTAGGACCAGGGACAGAATGAAGAGAACAGACATGGTCACTACCTTCCCGGAGCTTCGGTCTAGAGACACAGGAACAAGCAATCACACAATTAATTAACTGCTGCTTTGATGACAGGTATGAAGCGGAGGGGCTAACAGTCCGGGGGACTGGAGAAGGGCAAGCTGTCCTGAGGCAGTGACGTGTAGCTGGGATCTGGAGCATGACAGAGTTAGCCAGGGGAAGGGGACGGGTGAGGGGTGGAGGTGTGAAGGTCCTCAGGGAACAAGGAGCCTGACACAGTGGAAGAGCTGGAAGGCCAGGGAGGCTGGAGCACAGTGCGGGGGGCAGAAGGCCATGTTCTGAGAGGAGAGCGGTCAGTGGGGGCCGGACAGGCAGTGCCTTGTAACCCATGTTGAGGAGACTCTGGATAGTAAGAGCAATAGGAAGCCACGGAAAAATTTTAACCCGAGGATTGACATGATCAGATTTGCATTTTAAGAGCACTTTGGATGCTGGACTGAGACCACAGTGGAGAGAGGCCAGAGTGGTAATGAGATTACTGGGATACGACCATAGTGGTCCAGGTGAACGGATGTGGTGGCAGTGGAGATGGAGAGAAGTGAACGGGGGAGAGATATTAGGAAGCTGACTTGATGGGGCTTGGCGATTGTACGTTGGGGGACAGATGGCAGTACTATCTTCTAAAGCAGGGAGCCCAAGAAGAGCACAGAAGGGACTGGATGGGGTGGCTGGGCTGGTCCAGTTTGGGCCATGTAGAGAGAAGCGACTGGGTCATCCAAGGGGAGCTGCTAGGTAGGGTGTCACAGGTATGAGTCGGAAGCCCAGGAAAGAAGACTAGATTTGCTCCAGTGATGCACAGCTTGTTCACAGCAGATCCAGAACTAAGCTAACAGTGCAAATAATGAGACAAATGAGCCCTTCAAAGGGCTGGCAGGGGCTGAGAAGGTTCCAGATGTTTTAACAAGGCCATTTGGGTCACCAAGGAATGGCAGCTCTAAGGCTGGCATAAGAACAGAAAGGATACTGCAGGGATAAAGAGAACAGGGGGCCAATAGGGAAAACAGTAATAATAACAAAACTGGGTGGGTGCAGGGCTACATGTGTGTGTCCCTGGGAAATTCACATGTTGAAACCTAACCCTCAAAATGACGGTATTAGGGGCCTTTCAGAGGTGCTTAGATCATGAGAGTGGAGCCCTCACAAATGGGATTAGTGCCTCATAAGGGAGGCTGCAGAGAGCTCCCTAGCCCTTTGCACCATGTGAGGACAGTGAGAAGTCTGCGACCTGGAAGAGGACCCTCACTGGACTGTGCCCGCACCTGATCTCGGACCTACACCCTCCAGAACTGCGAGAAATAAATTTCTGCAGTTTATAAGCTACCCAGTCTGTGGTATTTTGTTATAGCAGCCAGAATGGACTGAGATAGTAAGTGGAAGCAATGCCTAGTAATGTTTGAATTCACGCGTGACTCCATCCATTTGTCCTTCTGAGCGGAAAGACGAGCCCCTGCCAAACAGCACTGTATCTGGAATACCCTGAAATGCCACGTCTGAACATCTCTGCTAATATGGCATCTAGTGAAGATCAACTACTCCAGGAGCAGGGGAGGGACTCAAAATAAAATTATACAGAAGACGACGATGTTTATGAGCGTCCTTGAGTGACCCTCTTGCTCAGACTTTTGCATACAATAGAAGTAGACTAGAGGGGACACACACTGATTTGAATTTTAAGCATAGTTCCAAGTAAAAATTATTTTGTGTCATATCTAACTCATTTAAGGGGACTGGCTTCCCCATTCAATCCATATGAACCATGCACTCTTTGACAGGTCACATTTAGTACTTCGTGCATAAAAGACTCACAATGGCACTGTCACATCTTGCACACACTATGCAAAAGCAACGTCTCTCTGTCGGATGGCTATGAAGTCTGACAGCACGGAAAATCCAGTTTAAAAAAGTAGACTAAAATGTAAAACTGTATCTCTAATTAAATCAGGATCCTTTTGTATGAAACTTAACAAATGAGCAGAGTTTCATTTTCCTGAAATAATACTGTCTGAAGGTGAACAGGAGGCTTCTTCAAAATGGAAGGAAACATAGGTAGTGGATGGGCAGTCAGACTTTTCAAGTCTGACCCTGCTGCTGATTCAGATTAGGGAGGTAGCGCATGTTAGTTGCAACTAATTAAGAACTTGACAAAGATTCCCATTATCTTACTAAACATGGATTATTTTACAGGTATTTTAAATAAAGCATCCCAATTTAGTCTTCCACAAACCTTGTGACAAGACAACAAAATAGGTCTTGCTACTGTTATTACAGTGTAGTCAATGGAGCTAAAGATACACAGCAATTTATTCTGGCTCATAGAGAATTTGCAGGACAATACTGATTGTGGAATCAAAACACTGAAACGTTAACAAATAGGTTAAAAGGAGAACAGATGCAAAAATTTTAGATTCTGGGACTTGGTGGCAGTTGGAAATAAAGAATGCATAATCTACTTTAGGATAGTAAATTGACTACTTTGGACGTGAAAGTGACTAAAAATATGAAAGCTTCTGTCCTAAGTAAAGTTCGCGTTAAGCAGAAGAATGCCTTAGTGTCCCAGGGAGGGTCAGGTGGAATGGAGAATGAAGGGCTACATCATGCCAGGCACCTTGACCTCTCTTCTCTGAGAGGGGAAGCACTTCCCTCCTGGGAGTGGCACTGAGGCCATCAATTACTCAGTGAACAACAGACCCACTCAGACACAGCTCCATGTGAGGCCCTCAACAAGGGAGAAGCAGACAGTGACAGCATTTACTACCGGAGCTCTCCAACTCAGGGCCGTGCGAATGGCAAAGTCTGAAAACCTCAAGAAGATTCTTCTTCCTCTTTGGCATTATCTTACAATCAAGCTAGATGCTCATAAGCTGACAGGGGTTGAAAAATGGGTTACCAAGCTCCTACCCACTGTGCTATCTCTGCTTCCTGGCACAGCCTGGAAACCACTAGCACTGCTTTACAAACATCACAGATCCTCATGTGTCTGACTTAAAAGGACTCCCCGAATTGTGAGAATTGACCCTAATGGGGCCTCTTGTAAGTGCATACGTAACACATTGTCCAAAAGGTTCCCGGGGAGAGTAGTACACACTAAAACTCATAATGGGAAGTGAATCAATAAACATAGAGATTTCTATAAATAGGTATTAGATAAAATTCTAACAAGTGCTCCACAGCACTTGGCTCTTTTATTTTTGCACTTCTTACATCAGAGTCTATTATTTGTTTGTCTCCTCTACCTCAAGAGTTGTTTTTTCATCTCTGCAACCTCAGCCCCCAACAATTAATGTGTGAGGTACTTAACAGAATAATAAATTCCAACAAATCTTCTGTCCTGCTGAGTCTCGCTGACAGCCCTAGCAGCTTAGCTGTCACCGAAATACCTGAACAGCTTGAAGGTCAAGATTCTGCATTTCCAAACACCACGGTCATCTCAAGATCTAACTGCCAGGTCTGGTCTCCTGCAGGAAACACACATCTCATCTACCCCTTATTCTAAGATGAAACATCAGGGATAAATCCACCAACCAAATTAAAGATTGGTCTAATCCACAAACAATCTCTATGGAGATTTAGGCTTATGATAAAACGGGGACCCAGAGTTTACAAGGAAAGGATCTGAAATGCTGCTCTCAGACCCCTCCTTTTATAGATACTTGGCAACGTTCCCCAAGAGCTCAAGTTCCTTCTAAAATATGTCACGTGTATAACATGCGTGCACAGAAGTGTGAGGTAAAAGCACTAGCAGAGGCTTAAATGCAATCAAGTGATAAGACCACAGAAAATGAAGACCTTACCACCCAGAAAACCATCAGTAATCCCAGTGAGAAGTATAAATGCATTACTAGGTTTCTCTGAAGTCATTTTTTCTTGGTCTGCATATTCAGAGATACCATTCTGGGAGAAGGTCTGCGCATTTTCACAGAGGACAAAAAAACCCATCTACCAAAATCTCTAATATTCACCTTCCCATTCACATCCATTTTCATTTTCCAACTTGGCTGCAAAGTCACATCCAAGATCCTCAACCCCAATTCCATACAATATCCTCTGTTTGGAACCATGTATGGCTCACTCCATTTTTCTCTTTCAAAGAGGAAATAAGATTAGAGAACCTTCTCAAATCCCAGCTTTGAGAGGGTTCACAGTAACCGTGCCCACCTTCCCATTTGCACCAGCCCACGCTGCATCTGTGCCAGACAGCAGGAGCACCCTGCAGGCATCCACCAGCCTGCCAGCTCAGCAGGGCAGAACTGGGCAGACCCTAGGACTGTGCTGTGACTGGCATACCACCAGTCTCCCAGGGCAAACGCCCAGGCAATGCGTACTGCCAGGACTTGGGCAATCAAAGGGAGCCTGGCTGGGGCCTGTGCCCTGGGTCTGGATCAGAGCTCCCCCAACCCACCCGCTAACCATTACTTCCTTACTTGGCACTGCCCACCTTCTCCCCCACCTCCCCATGCCCTGGCACCACGCCTGGCAAGCTGGCCACCTAGGGGAAACAACCATCAAAGTGGGTGACAGCAGTTCTTTGGAAAAGATAACACACATGTGCCCCGGGCCCAGAAGGGGGCACCACCCTCACCCCCAAATTGGAGGCCCAGGACCCTCACCGGGTTACCAGCTCCCACGCCCACATACCTGCCCATACCTTAACCCCCTGCTCACAGCCCGGCAGGCCTCCAGCCTCTCCCCGCGCCCCGGAAGCCCAGCAGGCTGTTGCCCCCAGGGCTATAACAGGGTCCACCTCCCTAACGGTCTTCCCCCACCCGGTCCTCACACAAGCCCCCTCCCCACGTCCAGCCCCTGTCCCACCCATGATTCCCTCTCCCACGCAGTCCCGCCCCTCCCAGCAAAACCCACCAACTCAACGACGGAGGGACGCACCACCTCCTGCTCCCGCCGTTTGGCCTTCTGTCCCCCGAAAGTTCTCTCTCCGCCTACCTCGCTTCCCTTCTTCTCTCCCCTACTCCCACCTCCTTCCCCGCGCGCCCAGCCCTCCCTTCCTCACCTAGGGCCGGGGTCGCTGCTCCACGACCGGACTCGCGGGTCTGGTGGCGCATGCGCGAGCCCGGCCCCGCGGCTCCATGACAACCCCGTCGTCGCGGCGTCCCGAGCTATCCCGGCCGCGGCCCGCCCATCGCTTCTTCCCCGCCTCCGCGGCAGCTTGCTCCAGACACGTGACCCGGATCGGAGGACCCGGCACCATAGAGACTGCCCGCTGTGCTCCTAGAAGGGCCCTTGGAGGCGCGCCCTGTTCCCGCCTCCGCCGGAAGGAGTGGCTGGCACGCCTCTCTGGGAGAGCGGAGGACGTCCGCTCTCTCCGCGGAAGGGGGCTGTCTCTATGGTCGGTTCTCCAGGCCTCGTCGCCATTTTGTACCGAGGACCTTGAGCTCTGAGCCGCTGCGGATGGGTTTCGAGGCGGGGTTTGGAGAAGCCGGGGGGTGGGCCGGCCTGAGGCAGACATGGCATGAGGCCCGCTTCTCCTGCGGGAGCGGGTGGAGAGTGGCGGGAGGGAACGGCTCTCTCGGCTTGTACGCCGCGACACCGTTGGGGTTGGGAACCGGGACAGGCCAGGCCTGTCTTGCACGCGAGCCCGTGCGGGGCTGTCGGCGTGGGAGGGAGCCGTGCCGCGACCGCCCCGCGCGCTGCTCGCATGTTGGCCACGCCTGCCGCGGCGGCTGGGGTGCGTTCCCGGCCGCCCCTGGAGACAGGGCTCCGCGAGCCTAGGGCGCAATCAGTATTTCTCTTGGATGATTTCATGTCATTTTGACTCACTTTGTCCCGTGCGACTGTCCAAGATGTTGAGTTTTATATGGATACTGTTTCTCATGCTGGCGCTTGGCGAAGTGTCACACACGTGTAACAGCTAAAGAAAAGGGGGTTGCGATCAGTTGAAGTTCTGATGCGTTGAGTCAGTGAGGGATACTTCTTAGGTTTGAATTTAAAGAGGCTGACAGATGGAGGCAAGTTCTAGAGCTGCCCTGTCCAATAGGGTAGCCACTAGATGGTATTGAACTAATTAAAACAAAATTTAATAATTCAGCCTCTCAGTTGCGCTAGCCATATTTCACGTCCTCAATAACCACATGTAGCTAATGGCTATTTTATTGGACAGCCGCATGCCAGCATCGCAGCAAGTTGGATTGGACAGCTCTGATCTAGATGATGAGGAAAGAGGAAATCGCCCTCTGTTGGTAGTCTCAGCCTTTCTAAGCACTGCTAGGTCATAGTGAAATCACGTTAATCCTCCAGACACAGATAATGCTAATGCATTACTAGATTTGAATGTATTTATTAGCGTAAGCTCTACCAACAAATAATAATTGAATGCGTACAGCATGTAAGGCTTTTGTTTAGGGGCTGGAGGGAGTGAAAACAATAGTAAACAATTATCAAGTAATTAAGAGCCAGGCAGCTTTACATGCATTCTCTTATGATGCCTCTACAAATTTATGAGGTCGGTGCTATTATCATTTCCGGTTTGTAGATGATGGTGCTGAAATTCATGCCCAAGATGACACAACTACTAAGCCCAGGATGTTAACCATTAAGCTGTATTGCCTCTCTGGGGCAGAATAAAACAGTCTTTGCCTTCAAATACCTTAGAATCTGATATGGGAAATAAAGACATGCTGTAGTAAACAGTATGAAAGAGAATGTGATAAAAGCCAGAGGATTTTGAACAAAACCTAATTAATAAAATCCAAAGAGTAAAACAATAACCTTCAGCTTGTTTTTTGTTTGTTGTTGGAGGAGGAAGAGACCAGGAGCTAAAGCTTTAAGAAGGACAGATAAAAGTTGGATTTACAGTAGTAGAAGTGGCTGAGAGCATAATGCATACGAGGCAAAAGAAAATAAATGAAATAAGGAAAAGCATGAGGATTATTTTAGTCCTCCAAAGGTGCAAATAAATCAAACTTCTGTGAATTTACCTATCTTATGAGCAGACAGCCATGCTGTATCAACTTGAACTTCAAAGACAAGTTAGGTAATGGAACCAAATGAATCAGTCCGATTTACTGATAGGCATAATTTTTATTGAGCCGCTGTATGGTTTTATATAATTATATGTATAGAATAAGCAATTCATGAAACTGATAATATTTTTATATAGCCAAACCAATGTAAAAAGTTTTCTTCTTTTCTTTTTTAATTCACCAGGGTTTGTAAATCAGCATTTCTCTTGATAGTTTCCTGGTGCCATGAGTTCTTTAATCTTCACTGTCACACTCCTGTTTAGGTTAAGGTTTCCATGACAGAGAACAGGTTTCCAAGCACCATTTCTTGCTGTAGAGACCTTTCCAATTTGAGTCCTCTGTATCAGTTGAGGTTCAAGGCTCATTTTGCCACCACCACTGCCAGCAGGGGGAGACCTGCTCCCTTAAATGCTGCACTTAAGGATTTGCAAATCGCCTTCTTTTCCTTTCTCCGGTCTTGGAGTGGCACGGCCTGGAGGTGAGAAACTGCACCTCCACCCAGCCTGCTTCATGAAGTTGTTACCTGCCCTGTCCATGTGAGGATTGGAGTTTTCAATCCTGCTATGAAGAGTTAACCTTGTGCTGAGTTTTGTTTGAAGATATTTTAAAGTATCCAATATAGTATATAATTTAAAATATTTATAAATAATTGTTTAATACTTATTTTAATATTTCAGGTTGAATTTAAAATCAGTCATTTTTAAATTATTTAAAAGTAATTAAAATAGTGTAAGAGCAGTGAAAGTATTCAAAAGATCTAGTTTCAAATCCCAGCTCCTATCAATATAATTTTATAAAAGAAGGGGCATTTCAATGTCTTCCCCCACAGACACTTAGGAAGGAAGATGGGCCATAAGCTCTCAATTTAAAAATTGAATAATTTCTGCTTTATCAAAAACTCATTGCATTATTCTTATTTTTCCAGTTTTGCTGAGGACCAGTGAAAACATCACCATGAAACTGGCATTTGAGAAGCATCTACTTTATTTTTCTGAACTGTAGTTTGGCCACCTGTAAAACAGTTATGCTCTAGTGTGAATCTAGCAACCAGCATGACTGGTGTTCACCACTTCCCACTTTTTTAAGAGGATTTGATGGGATGGTGGGTGTGTGTATGCTCCAGAATCCCCGAGCCATGGTCAGTGAGAGCAGAGGAGAGGGATCTACAGGTCCCAGGCTGGCAGAGGCAGAGGTGGACGATATACGATAGCAGGATGCATGATCTTTTTTTCCTTAGCAGTCAGGTGAGTAGGCCCCCACCAGCCAGGTCAGTTCTTGGCTCATATTCTTAGGGGCTGTCTGGAAGAGCAGGAACAATAAAAGGATAACATTCAGGTTACAGTCAGGACAGTAATATATAGGCACAAGTTCGATTTCAGGGGCAACGGAAACTGCTCTCAAATAGTTCTCCATCTTCTTGCCAATACCTGAAATTCCTGTTAAGTGTAATTGCTTGACATGCAAATACTCTAGAACTCAAGACAAATTCTATCATAATAACAACTAACACAGAGTGCTTACTATTTGCCAGACACTTTCCTAAGTGATTTGCCTAGATTTACTCATTTAATCCTCACGCAGTCCTATGAGATGGATGTGGCATCATTATTCTCATTTTATGGAGGAGGAAACCAAGGTAAAGAGGCCATGTCACGTGCCAAGGTCACTGGTGGTAGGTGGTGGAGCCAGGATTTGAATTTCAGAGTCCTTGCTTTTAGCCCCTCTGCTAGACTGCTTCCGTGTTCAAGTGGAAATGGTGCCACCACGCCCTTTCCTGCTGTGCTAAGGAGGAGGCTCGTGGGGAGCCAGCACACACTGGGTACAAACACTTGTGTGGGAAAGTATGCCAGGGATGGGGACTGGGCACTATATAGGCAAACTTCACAGAAAACACCTCCATCTGGTCCTCTCTTTCTTTCGTTCTGCACGGTAGAAATATTTGTTGTGTGTGGGGATATGTGCTGATTTCAACCCACGTGTCTTCCCAAACCACTCAGCAGTGCCTTTTACTTGTTAGATCCCCTATCTGGAAGCTTTTTAGTGGAAAGATTTTAAAAATGTCATCTCCCCCCACTAACTATGAAGTCTTTGATGTAAACTCACAATTTCTCTCTTTCTCTAGATGACCCAGAAAGCTGTTCAGCTGCCCCTTGGTGTGGAACCACATGATTTTTGACTTATAGGTTCTCCTTGGCCTCATATCTTGCCTTGTAGTCTTCCCTCCCTTCTGTAAACAGCCTTGGGATCCTAACTGAGTTCCCCTGCACGGGATTGCCAAAAGGCAGGGAACACAGGCCACCACCGCAGAAGGCCAGCTGGAGCTGGGGCTCTTGAGTGGAACCTGACACTGCAGTAATAGGAAGCAGGCTACAAAGCCCAAGGGCAGGAGCAGCCTCCACACAGACATGCGTTATGCCCCAGACTGAACACTGTCTGTCCCTTATGGCTTGATCCGGACCGGTTTGCATTGTAATTTCCTGGGTTCCTATCTGTCTCTTCCACTGGAGTCTAAGCTCCTTCAGGGCGGTGATTGTATCTAATGTTTTTCTCCCACAAAGCAAATTCTACATAATAAGTGTTCAACCAACTTGACATCAGTGGGACCCCAGCTTCCTGAAAATTTAACGATGGGCTCACACATCACTGACAGGACCCAGAGAAGGAAGATGCCACCAACAAGGGGAGTGAGTCACTTCCAGGGCACCATACAAGGGCCGACTGGAGATCTCCTTTTCTTCTGTCAGTTCCCTGACACGCTCTGCTCTCTGCCACCTCCAGGCCTTGTGCACACAACTATGTGTGTGACTGAGGCATATGAAAAGGTGGAGTGAAGGTAGCTGCTGCTGACAGGTTTGCTCCACACTTGTAATTCCGCCAAAGAAATTCCAGAGCCTCTGTTGCTTCTCCTGCTCTACCCCACCCCGCCCCCAGTCATTGGAAGGTCTTTTCCATGGTCAGAGCATTTGCTCAGGAATGCCCTTGAATCGTCCTCCCTAACGTTCGATTTGGCTCATGGCTGACTCTATTTGGAATTCCATGAAGGACCTTATAAAACCTAGTGATCAGTAGAGATGACGGAGGTAGTGGCTTTACTTTGCAGACAGAGACATGGCTGGGACCTTCACACACCAGCACTCCTTCCAGCACCGGCTAGGCAGGTGGGTGCCTGTGATGCTTCCCTCCAC